AAAAATTAATAATGCTGAATTTTTATGAAAATAATATTAAATTGCTAGAAGACTTTTTGTTCAAAGTTAATTGTTAAAAAAATGTATAATAATTATGGAAAATGAAAAATATTGATTTATAGTTTTCACTTGGAATGTGGCTGTCAGCCATGATTGTGTAGATATTTTGTGTATTTTTATTTGAATTAGTTTTAAGTTTCTTTTTATTTCTTTATTCAAAAAATTTCTTCTAGAACTTTCTCTCTTAATTAGCCTTTGATAAGGCTCGATTAAGGCTTAATTGTTTTTTAATGGGATTTTTTTATCAAATTTAATTCATCGTTCTAAAGTTCTAGCGCACGGATTTTCCTTCAGTAAAGTTATTTAAAGCTACTTTCTGATGTCAAAAACGACCTCCAATAGTTTTTTAATTTTTTTAATTAATAGATTTTATTATATATAAATTTAATTAATTAGGGGGTTCGGAAATCGCAATTAAAATTTTAATTTTTTAAAAATATTTAAAAATATAAGGCCAGCTAGTATTCACCCTACTTTAAACCCTTGTCCTCCTGAGACATCTATGAGAATGCCCCAGGAAATCAGACTCCAGCTGTTCTCAAGGTCATCCAGCTGTGTAAACAATGACTCATCAGTGTCAAATTTCACAGAAAGAGGAGACAAAGGAAAATAAAATTTAAAGATTTTTCTTCAAAATTAACACATTTCTTTTGTTTTTTTCAGTTTTAAGTATTTTTTATGTTTAATTATAATTAATTAAAAGTTGATCGGGAATGAAGGGGTTAACCCTTCTCCCTTGGGGGTAAGGTGACCAATTCCTGGAACATACACAAAGGAAGGTGTGAAGCCTGGTGGCAAAATGGTGATAGAGCGGTCAGTCTGGGAACGGATCCTGAGGAGAAAGACACAAGGAAGGCAGTGCTCCCGAATGCGGAAATAGAGTGAAGAAAAGACAAAGAAAGAAGAGTAGAAAGGCAAAGGGACTGCATGGTGCTGAGGTATCGGAGAGAGAAGTTATAAAAAGATGACATTCACCAGAATATTGAGACCAGTAAAATATAAGGAGGTCGACGACAAAGGAAAAGGGTAAAGAAAGTTTACGAAAAGAGAAAAGGCCTGAGCACGTGTTTGTGCCTTACCCCAAGATATATCGACACGAAAACCCCCCCCGGTATTTCCTGATCTTTTATTATTACTTAATCCTTCATTCTCATTTCCCATCCTTTCTATTTTCTTTAGTTATAAGATAGTTTATAAGTTAGTTGTAAGCTAGAGTTAGTCAGATTGCCCTGCATCCATGTGTTGTGAATTAATAGAATTTTGATTGTTGGATAAAAAGAAATGTTCAACACCTGTGTACCTGAGATAATTTGAGGTCATAAATAAAAGAACCAGTTTGTTGAGAAAAAATAAAAATACATTTTGTTACAAAATTTTATCAAAGTTTATTTTATTGTACCATTCCGCTTGCAGAATCCAGTATGTCTCAAATATGAACATCACAGGAGCACTAATGTTCCATTTATTTATTTGCACATGATGAACTACTGTGACATTTTGATGTGCACAATTGGTTTATCTTCTTACATGCACACTTTTTTGTTTTACATTGCTTTTTTATTATTCTGTACACCTGGCAAATCCTTGCCTCTGAAACTTCAATTCTTTCGCCACATCTTCACATAGATATACATATTTTTCTGGGATGTCTTTAAGAATTTGCAATCCCAGAAATCTAGAAATCACTTTTACTGAACCAGGACTTAATTATTACACTCATTGTTCCAATTTGATAAACATTACTTTTTGCATCTAGAATTTTTCCTATTATATATTGGCAGTCTAATGGCTCTCGGTCAACCTTTGGAACATTCAATAAAATAAAGTCTCCAACTTCAACAGGTTTTAGTGCTTTTGTAGTAATTTCAAACATTTTTTCTGCTGCTCTTTTTTGGCCTCTGTGTAGTTGTTGATGTTTCTAGAAACTACAATTTTTTTATGTTTACAACACATGCAAATGTCTTTACTCCAATGCTCTGAGCACAATTCTTATGAACTGTCATTGCATACAATGAACATAATATTACATGTGATTCATTCAGATTGCGTACACAAACAGAACAAGCCTTTTTCTCAAAATTTTCCTCTTGATTTTTGTTTATTTTCTCAACAGCTTCTCATTCTAAACTGTTTTCCTTAAGGTGTGCCAAATCTTCTTCACTAAGAAGAGTTTGTAAAATTTATGGTGAAATATTCATTGACCCTAATCCTAATTTTGGTTCCGATCCAAAGAGTGCTGAGGAATTCTGTCTATAACTCAATGCTCAGAAGAGTTCTTTTGACACTGAATGAAATGGCAGCCTATTACCCAGTCTATACTACCAGTATCATCCATACATGCACATAACATATTTTCACCATCCTGATTGCACTGCTCTATGCTCCCTGGGATATTGTGGATGTTGGGCCTTCTGTGCACTATTTTACATTCAGGCCATATAACTGAAAGTTACTCAATGACATTAGCTGTGAACTCTCTTTCATTGTCACTGTGCAAAATATAAGGCTTAACAAAGTCTAAAAATATTTTCAGCAGTTCCAGTGCAACTGCTGCACATTTTGTTTTCAAAGGGCAAAGAACACAAAATTTTGTTGCATATCAGTTCATTAACTATTTGTAGTCTCTACAGAGAGTAGATTGAAAATCAATCAAATCAACTTGGTCCCGAAGATTGAAATCCTTCTTAGTGATCGGTCATATGACAATGTTTTTGTGATGTTGAGACTTCTTTGAATTTTACATTTTACATAGTGATACAGATACTTCAATAGCTAATAGGGATGTAAAACTTACTTTTCAGAGCAAATATCATTTTATCATGACCTCAGTGATCTGTTGAGCAATGATATTGAAGTAATATATCAAAATATTCCTCAATAGTAAGAATTACAACAAAGATCGTCAATGGTTTTTCTTTTCTTAATTAAAACTTACTTTTCCTCAATCTCCATTCTATCATATTTCCTAATTAGTCCATACTGCCTTCTACTTTTTTCTTATCAGTGTTTCTTGAATTTAAAATTTCATGGACTGCTTCATTTATACTTGGTAGTCCAAGGCTTCGGAGCCATTTATAATATCATTGTCCTGCATATTTTCTTCTCCAACAAATTTAGTTCATGTATCCATCTCCATTTCTAAGTCACTTTAAATATAAACACAACACACACAATGAGATGTAATTATTTAAATTCTACCAAATGTCAGTGGCGTACCGTAGTGGGGGCGGCAGGGGTGGCCCACCCCGGGCGGCACTTTTTAGGGATTTTGCCACCCCCTATTTCACAATAAATAATAATAATATCTTGTAAAAATTTGAAAATCCTAATCTATACTTGCATCGCGCCTACAATAGTGCTATCGTCCGGTGAAGTATCGATAGTATCATCTAGTGAATCAGCTCGCCGGGTAAACTAGTAACTTTTTCATCCGAGGAATTCCTGCGAAACCTATTGACCCCTTTTTTTTTTTTTGCTTGTACAATTCATTTGTGTTCATGTACACCACTAATATCCAATAGAACTATTTTAAACAGGTCGTTGCACTACCACTGAATTTTTTCATTGCTTGTTCTGTGACAAAACTGAATTTTGGTCTTTTAAATTGAAATACCTAAATAAGGGGGGGCGAAATTTTCCTCCACCCCAGGCGGCTGACACCCACGGTACACCACTGCCAAATATGAATTCAAGAAAGCAACTGTGACTGTTACATGCATGTTAGCAAACCTGAGTGAAACTATGTTTTCAAGAGGTGTTTGAGGACATGACCAATTGTATGGTACTAACACAAAAAGGGGAAAGAGATGTCATGCTAGCACTGCAGAGAAATCAAATTACAATAAACCTAGAATCAATCAGGCTAATTGAACAAACTGAAGTTCACTTTCTTAATTGCCCAAAGCTCTATGGACTGATTGCAAAATGCCTAAGAAATGTCAAGCTGAATAGCAAATAGAAGAAGCTTCAAACTTTTCTGGAAATTGAAAGTTATAAGACTATTGCATTAAAGTATAGTTTGTGTATATGTAATACTGTAATTTTGCTACTGTTATAATTTTCTGCAGATAACACAAGTCACCTGTATTTAAGAATCAATTTGACAATAAGTGTGGATTATAATCAAACAAATTCTGAAAAAAAGTTGCTGGGTACTCAACCGAACAAATGCAATCTGCTAGAACAAATTTTTGATTAATAACATATTTTTATTTCGTCATTCATAAAAATTTTTTAATGATAAAAATAAAAAATATGAAAATGTTGCTGATATTTCTGATAGAGATCAACAAAAAAGCTGAAATGATGACAATACTTTGTAAAAAGAAAATACCCTTGTTTGAGTAAGATTAATATTAATGTGCAATACAATACTTTTAATTGTAATTGTTAATTAAATATTAATTGGAAATAAATTATTGATTTGCTTTAATAAACGTTTTTCTCTTAGTAATGAAAAAGAATAGTATACTTTTGCTAACTTCTAGAATGTAACCTATGTTTTGCATTAGTCCTTTGTTTCATATAGCATGGATTTGCAAAACACAGCCTTTTTTGGACATAATTACTGTGTTATACAAAGGATACTTATACATATACATTTATTTATTTAATAGTTATATATTTATATATTGTATATAATTGTTTTAAAATAAATAATGACATGTAAAATTTATATATATATATTATTATTATTATTTGTAATTTACATCTTTTAGATAGTGAAGAAATAACAAATGGCCAAGAAAAGAATAATGGTGATCATGAAGTTTTAATGAGAAAGTCATCTAGTAAGATATTAGAAACTATACCTGAAAATGCAGCAAAGAAAGAGGATGAAAAAAATGATGTGACTAGTGTTGATTCAGAACATTTAGTCTATTTTGTGGATAATGTGCCTTTGGAAAAGGTATTCAAATTTTTGTTTTAAAAAATTTACTTAAATACAAAAATATACTTGGATTTTATAAACATTTCTAGGTCTTTATTTTTGTTTTGTTTGTTGTTTATAAGCTCAGGAAGATTGATTCGATGTCATCTGTAAAATATTCAATCAGATAAATTTACATAATTTTATTAATATTTTATTAATTTAATGCACAAACTTGTCTAGACCAGAATCCAGTATAATGGAAACATGTGTAAACAAAAAACACTCTAGAATAGCATGATTTAACTAAAAAATTTGTAAAAACTGGATAAACTTTAAATCAACACACTAATGCCAAAAATCCAGCAAAACATACACTTTAATAGACAAACTAATGTTTTCAACAGTCTTAAACTCATCATCAGGCTTAATCAAATAACTTCAAACAAGCAATCACAATTAGAACAATTTTTAAATAAAAAAAAGAACCCTTATATGATTAGTTGTAATGTTACATGTAACAAAACATTTAAAATGACAGAAAAATCAATGTATAGGCATTGACCCAAAAATATTGTTTTGGGTCAATGCCTATACATTGATTTTTCTTATGCACATTATGCATTGATTTTCTACACTCTTTTGAATGTTAAGTTACATGTGATGTTACAACCAATCATATAAATTTTCTTTCATTTTTAAAAATTGTTCTAATTTCAATCACATGTTTAAATTTATTTGATTTAAACTTGATGATGATAATTTTATTTTGTCTATGTCCTTTGTATATAAAGTATTAAAGTAAATGTTTTGTTGGATTTTCGGTGTTAGTGTGTTAATTTTGCTAATTTGAATTAAGAGATTTTTTATGTTAAATTTTACTGTAAGCCAGAAACCTGTCTAATATGGAAACAGAAGACATTTTTGGTATGAAAAATGTAACTTAACCTGAATAAAGTAAAAATTGAGATTTCATTTGTGGACAAATAAGTAAAATTGATTCTGAATATAACAGTCACTGCAGAGCATGAAAATATTTCAAGAACAAGTTTAACCATCTTTGTTCATATTAGTCTTTGTTGGAATTAACCAGGGATAATCAAATACTTTTAAGAATCAAAACTTTCAAAAATCAGAATAAGTTTCTAATAATTGAATTTTTGAGAACAACCAATGAATGTAATTTGTGAAAACAATGAGAATAAGGTAATACATGCTGCCAATTATTTCTTGTTGGAGTGGTTAGTAAGCCAATTTCCAATTATTTGAGAGAAAGTTAATTACATTGTTGATAATTAGAGATTAAAGTTAATGATTAATTAGGGTATTAAAACTTCTTCAGAAAACAGATCATGGAATACCTTGGTCTCTGTATTACTGTAATGTAATTAGAATTTTCAAAGGCAGAGCAAAGGCACTAATTATGTTCTCAGATTGGCTTGTTTGCCTATTATGTAAACTCATAAGGCTTGCATACAAGAACTTTTCAGTATTCAAATAACTAACAAAAGTTTTTGCAAATGAGAACTTTTTAGAATTGAATAGTTCTTAATTCTTGCATTCAAATACTTCTGTCTCCAGTTGGAATCACATTTGAATTAAATTGAATTAGACCTAGTAATTAAATTTTTTACATAAGTAATCAAAATGATTTTATTATAAAAATGAGTGTTACTATGTTACATTTATCTGGTATAGTTTAAAGATAAGAAAATGAATAATAATACTAGAATATGTTCAGAATGAAAACCTGTCAAAACAGAAGTACAATTCAGTACTTTGTGATTCTAGTTTACACAGATTTTGGTGTTTATGATACTTTTGATATAAACAATTCAAAAATATATATATTGTTTTTATCTTTTTATAGATATAAATAATTATCTTTCACTTTATGTATTCAGATCTTATCTAAAAATTCAAATATGTATTTAATGGTTACTTATTTAAATTGGTATTTATGAAATTTTATAATTTTGAATACATTATAAAAATTTACAATAACGTATTTTAAATGCAAATTACAACCATTGGAGATAAGAACCTTATTAATATTTTTTTTATATATAAGAAAAGTTTTTTATTTGCAATTTTTATATATGATAATAACATTTGAAATATAAAAACTTTGAAACTTATCAAACATAGTTACAATTTTACATTTTAATTAATGAATTAATTTAGATTTTGAAAGAGACATTAGATTCATTAGGAATTGTTAATGCTGTATGGACATTAGCTAAAGAAGGTAAATTTCATGAAGTAAGTGTTCTTGTTCTTTGTTTTACTTTTCTTATTTTTGTTTTTCTTTATAAAATATTTCATATATTTTTTTTCAGATTTCATTTCCTTGTGAACCAGGCTACAAGTGTGATTTGATTTTACGCGCCTTAATAACTAAAGGAATTGGATTTCGAGGAGGCTCAACAATAGGGTAAAAATTTTTTACTATGCAAAATAAAGTTAATTTTGATATCTTTATCTAAATAATTTAATAAGAAAAGTTACTTTAATTCTACATAAATATGTTATGAAAATAAGATTAAATTATTAATTCTCATAGAAACATTAAGAGCCTTTTTTATTTTTTAAGCGCTTTCACCGCACCAATGCGGAAGCGCCTATTAAAGTCAGTATGCTCATCTATCTGCATTAAAAAATTTGCAGTCTGAATGGATATTGATGAAATTTGATGATAAAGGTATTTACAAAACATTATTGATAAACTTTTAAATTTTTTACATAAAACCATGAATACCTTTTCAATACCTTGCTGAAAAAGCATGCATCCCTTTAAATTATTTTTCAAGAAATTTTTGAATATAATTAATTTTTCCTTTTGTATAAAAACTAATGAATGTAATTTGTGCATTTTTATATCTAATTTAATTTTTAATACAATTTATATTTATATTAATTTGATTATTTAGAAAGCATTAAAAAGATTTTTTTAAAACTTTTCTGAAAATTTTTTCTTAAATCGTATATTTTATGACAAAAATAAAATTATTATTGTTGTATTTTAAGTTTGGGTTATTGGTATAGAATTTTTGATTTCAATTTGACTAATCTAATCTAAATCCAATGTATATAGATAGTCTAATTTAAATTGAAAATACATTTAATGTATAATAAAGTTAGTGATCACACAGATAAAAAACATCAATAGATAATAGCCCAATTATGAATAATTTATTTGATAAACTTATTGGTAATTGAATGAATTTAGATCAAGATGAAATCAAATATTTATGTTATTTTAATATAAAGTAACAATAAAGTACTTCCTTCATTCAGTAGTAACGATATTTTATTCTCAAATACACTCATTAACAAAAAAAGCTACGCATCCTAGATAGAATTCTAATTACTGCAAAACTCAGCATACTGCTATGGAAATGATCAGTTGTGGTCTGATTTCACGCTAATAAGAAGGTCAAACATTTGGGTCTCTGATTTGAATGAAACTTGGTAAGTATGTAGTCCTTAATACAAACAGCTTCTTGTCAAAATAAGAGGACCAATTTCTCAAGCATTTCTGAAAAATGGGCCCCTGAAAATTCAGTTATAAGTGATTAAAAAATCATGCTGTCATTTCTTGTTTAGCAAAAACATCATCTCTGTAGATTTATTAACCCTTTCATGTCATTATATAAAATTTTTTCTTCATATTTATTTTTCAGATATGGTGGTATTGTTATATTTGAAGTGTAACAAATGTGAGCACATGAGAAAATAGTCCATAACATTAACAATAAAAAAAAAGCTATGGCTATTCTATCCTATTTTCATAAGACTTGTCTTTTTTGTCCATGTACAGTAACATCCAAAGCTTATTTGCTTATGATGACACAGTATTTGTATTTTTAATTAAAATTTCAACTTTTTCTATCCAATTTAATTTGTTTTATAAACTTTAAATGTGATGAATAACTAGGACAATAACTAGGACATTGCATGACTCGTCATATTGCGATAGAATTGAGAAGGAGCCGGAAAGAAAGAAGTAATCCCTACACTGTTAGTCATGGAAGAGTTGTGCACATCCATCAGGTACAAGAATCAAGTGAACTTTGCACAAACCCCACAAAAGAGGCTATCCTTGTACCTTGCTGACATGGAGAGGCAGTTGAATAACAAAACAATTACCATTGATTGCTTTGTTCTTGTGTTTTTTTGTTTTTCATGTGCCTATTTTCTGTTAGACACATGTAATGCTGTTTTTATTTTTGACACCTAGGCCTAAATTTCATTAGACGTACTCTAAAACAACTAAAATTGTGAAGTTTCAAACCTACATTATGTTGCTTTGAGTATCTTGTCTACTTGGTTATCAATGCTCCAAAGAGATAAGCTAAACACTCAATTTTCAGATGCTTGTTTCTCAGAAATGCTTGAGAAGTGGGTCCTGTTATTTGGACAAGGAGCTATTGTGTTAAGGACTAAACACTAAGTTTAGTTTGAATCAAAGACCAGAACATTTGACCCTTAACTTATGAGTACAGTAGATCCGCCTATAACATGGTAGATAATTCTGTGTTATATGAATTCCATGTTGTAAGAGTCACTTAGATTTTACAAGTATGTGAGCCGTTCACAGCCCGGCACATGTATTTGTAAAATCTATGTGACTTGTACATGGAATTCATATAACATGGAATTATCTATCATGTTATAGGGGGGGTCTACTGTAATGCTACCAGTGTATCTTAAAATTGCTATCTTAATATCCTATGAAAAAGCTTGGTACAGGCTCACTGTGTTTAGAATTTTTAAGTGTATCATTGTTTGGAAGTCTTTAAATGTCAGCATGCCTGTATAACAGTCAAATACAATATACACAGCTGACAGAGTTTGAGAAAGGCTGCATGCATCATCAGGGTGAGGAAAATAGAATGTCTGTTTTGCTGAATTGGTTGCCAATTTGGGTCATTCTGACTTAACTGTGAGGAGGTGTTGGAGGTAGTGAATATGGGAGGACACATATATGTGACAGGAAAACTCTAGATGTTCAGACAGATTACTGGAAGAAATCATTGTTGATTGTGACAAGCACAAACAGCTGCAACAGCATTTTTGTTCATCATCCAAAAACAAGTGGAAGCCTTTTTACATAACCCTGTCTTTTCCTATATCATTGGTAAGTGCCCAGCAGAGATAAATTTGTATGTGTAGCAACTGTTTTGCCATAAGCATTGGCTTCATTTGTAGTGGTACTGTGACACAGAAGCATAGATAGCTACAAACTGGCAATGTTTTTGCACCATCCTGGTTTTGTTTGAGAACAGATGATCACTAGTAAACACTTCAATCTCATCTTTACTATTGAGAAGCACACTGCCCCCTATTGTTGGTGTGTGGTCTGGAGAACCATCTCATATAACAGTTGGTCACCCCTAGTGGTGGTAAAAAAAGATAGTAACAACACAGTGGTATATTCAGGAAATTTTGCATTTTCATGTGCAGCCATTTTCCAAAGAGATAATGCTCAACTGTATAAAACTTGGATTTTCTAGAAGTGTCTCCATCATATTGATACACCCTTGGTCTGCTCTGTCTCCAGATTTGTTGCCCATCAAACATCTGTGGAACCAGATGGGATGCCAGCTTCAGTCATCTATGTATGTGAGAAATCTGGAGTAGCAGTTTCAACATCTTTGGGAAAATCTTGCAGAATGATGTATGTTGCTTGTATGCTTTCATGACCATATTACTAAATACATAGAAAAAGAAAAAGAAGGTGTCTTATAATGTACTAATGTTGTTTTAAATTTTACTGTTGTCTCACAGAAAATTCTCTCTTTGCTATGATATAGTAATCACTTGTTACTATCATTATTAAATTCATTATATTCACACTGATAGTTTTATTCAATTATAACATCATCTTGATGCATAACTTTGTCAATGAGTGTGTTTAAAATTATGTATGAGTGTTTATAATTTATGTTCAAGGATTTTATTGTATTTAAGATTATTGAGCATGTTTTAGTTTGAAAGAATTTGGTATGTGCTTGCTTCAAAAGTGTAAATTTTAAATATTTTTTATAATTTTCAAATATTGTTAACTTCATTCCATTAATATTTTAAGAATTTAAAATTATCAAACTTGAAAACTAAAGATAAAACTCAAATATAAAAAGTATTAAACTCTAAAATTCTGTTTTCATAAATTAATAATTTTTCATTGCAATAAATACTCTTTAATAAATTCATTACTTTTTAAATTAAGAGTATTTTGTTGTTTTTAATGGGGATTCATTGCTTTGTTATATTAATAGGGAGAGGTTTTACTTGCCTAGTGGCATTGTCTTGATGCTGTAAGAATGAATAAGTGCTGGCACATTGAAGCTTTAAAATTAAAATCCCACTTCTTTTGTTGCTTCATTCTTTGAAATGGCCTAACTCATTCAGTAGATTAAAAGATGTTTAAATGTGTTTATGTATTTGAGTGATTGAACTTGTTAATAAACAAATAACACTCAAAGGATAAAGGAACACACAAAAGGATAATAAAGGATGACAAAACTATAGCCTTATTCACTGTAAAGATCTGATGAAGACTTTCAAGGAAGTTGAAAATGTTAGTGCAGGATTAAAATTATCTACTGAAAACAGTGAGGTAAGGCTATAGTTTGTCATATTGTGAGACTAGCAGAGGGCCACTGGGATGATCCCTAATGACCACTTACACTGCAACAGGTTGATGAAACCTGGACTCAGATTGTCGGATGGCTTAGGACGGCAAATCGAATGGGGAGAATGTCAGTAAGTTGGCAGGTACAATGATAGACGACAGCTTAAACAAAATAACAAAACATTTATTGAATAGCTAAGCTAGGTTACATAAGGCGATAACAATATATATATATATATATATATAGGTTAAATGCAGTTAAATATGAGTTAACTATACAAAGGGCTGCTCTTAACAGCTCTAGTGGCTATTCTGAGAGAGAGAGTTCACAAAGCTCTAAAATACAAATACCTCTATGAGGATATGACTAATATGAGTTAGTTGAATGGGCCGTCAAAATTGTAGTCTGCATAGGAACTGTAGAATGGCAATGGAAGTTCAAAGTTGTTGTCTGTCGCTATGTCCAATGTATAGAGACAAGATGCACACAATAAGTATAACTTCCTTTGGTTGCCCTGCTCGAGCCCCTGGAAGCTCATTCCAGGGGCTCGAGCTTTTATATGTTCTTCGTGGGAAAGGAGTCAGGTGATAGACTTCTGTTGACACTAACGGTGCATTCCGATCAACTAAGTGTCATTTCCCACCTAATTGTGAAAACAACCGGTGACCTCCAATATAATTCTCACCAAGAGCAGGTTTTTTTCATCGGAGTTGTTTACAAAGGTTTTTTTCCAACATCTGCGTAAAAATTGCGAATTTCACATATTGTGAACTGAGATTCCAGCTTGAACATTTGAACTGACTCAAAGGCTAAATTGTAACGTAATAAATCATATTTGCTAAAAAAGATCAAGATTCAGACAGAAAAATTGTTTTAGCTGTTGATATAAATGAAACCCATATTCTCTAATAACTTATTGGATGTTTTAACCACTTAAGCCAGTAGGATATATTTATTAATTTATGTTTATTTTTCATAGCTCAATACTTCAAATGGAGCACTTTAACTCATCTTAGAAAAAATTGTTTAAATATCAATATGTTTACCCTGGAAATTTCTTTTGATTATTAAAGATTTCCATTAGAAGTTTGTCATTCAATCCTACTGATCCTTAAAATATCACCACTAAGCAGACACATACAAACAGTAACAAAAGAACTTTTATTAAACAAGATCAGAGCTGATGTCTACATCCTCAGGCTATACTTGGATAACTTAACAAACTTTTGCACTTTTTTTCTTTTTATATCCATTTCCAGGCAGCAACACGTTAGAAGTGTTGCCAGACTGTGTTCACGATCTCTGGCACTAGCAGCCACAGAAGATAGAATAAATGTGTCATTGTCTTTGCATCTTTGTTGGTTAGAACATTTAGTTTGTTGTTGCAGGACAAAAATCATCACATTCAGCATTAAACAACCAATTTTGTTTTTCTACATGTGTATTAGTTCTTATTTTAGATGAAAATACTGTTTGTTACATTAAGGTAGAAATAGCAAATTTATGACACAAATGTCTACACTAGAATGCATGAATAATTTGCATGTCAGGCAGGATAATAGTTCATTTTTATTCTCTCTCTACATAAACATGATAAAAATTAAGAATTTCAGTTTTTTATAATATTCCTATAAAATAAAAGGTGTTTAAATGAAACTGTTTTTTATTGATATATCTTCAATATAACATTAGTAAAATTTAAGGAATGTTGTAAATAATGCAAAATTCAAATAACTAGTCAAATACTAAAATGTGATATTTTTAATGAAAAATTGCTAAATCATTGTTTATATTTTAAAAATATTTTGAGTTGTCAGATGAAATATAAAAATATTTGATTCATATTAAGAATGAAGTAATAATAATAATAATAATAAAAGTAATGACAATAATGAAATTAAATTGTTTGCTCTTTATTCTTGAATAAATTTAGTAACACTATTTACTATTATACTATATTAACACAATACTATTTAGGATTATCATAAAGTCATAATTACTTGGATAAATAGAAAAATATGTTGATGTTTATTATATGAATTAAATATAACAAAACTGTGCATTTAATTCATGTAATTTCAAACTCTAATGATGATTATAATATATTATTTCTAGTATTGTTTGTATTGATCAACAGTTCAACAATCAAATGATTCATTGCCCTTTTTTTGCTTGATTTGCATTTGTACAGATTCATTACTAACAGTTATTTTTTTGATTTAGTTTTATATGGAGAAAGACAAACAAACATTTTTTTAAATTCATTTTTTATAGATTAAATTAAATAAAATGAATCTAAGTTTGAAATTAGTCAAGATTATTTTTATGTGTTTTTTAAACATTTGCAGTCATATTAGTGTAAATGTATATGGAAATATCACAAAGCCCAATGTATTAATAAACTAAACAATCACTATAAAATTTTTTTATGTGATGTATGTATTGATATATTAAGATACTTTTAAATGTTACCTACCACTATAATAATAATTATTTTTTTAATCCAATCTTAAGTAGATATTTTACAGCAATATATTTACACTTGAATTAAAATATAATTAAAGTAAGGGTGTTATTCAATATCCTTATTTACATATTAGAAACATTTTTGAACTTTTAAAATATGTCTTATGTTTCTTTCTCACATTCCATTTTGGACTCTCTGACCTGATGATCTCAAACAGATTGAAAGCATTAGTCATAAATGAATGCTTACTGGAAGTAATTCAAGGTTCCTCTATGATGACTTCTACTTTATATTATAATCTTCAGTCTCTACAAGAATCAGAATTTTTATATATAATTACCACTTATGGATATACAGTGATAATTTATGCTAGGAATAAATTGATTAATTAGTGTATTTTATATTAATACTTGCTCTCTAAGAAGTATACTTAATAGTTTCTTGAGTATTCTGCATAGGAACATGCTGTATGTCTTTCTAGAATGTTTTACAAATATTTTAGGAAGACATATAAGGAAATAAGTCATGAGAATCTATTAGTCATAAGTTTTCAATTTTAAAATATCTTGGAAATGATCATTTTCAATTAAATCATATATATCCCATATATTCTCATAATGTAATCTGTGAAATGAACTTTATAGAAGTGTAGGGTTAACTACCCATTTAAAAAAGTATATATGATATTCTACTGTTACTTCAAATACATCATTGAACATTCTTCCGACTTTTCTCAAATCCAGGACTTGACAGCTGCCTTCACCTCATTGTCCGAGATGTAATGATTACCCTTGAGGTCTCTCTTGAGTAGCAAAAAGAAAAGAAAAATCGCAAGGCACAAGATCAGGTGAATAAGGAGATCATGGAATCGGTTCAAACTGAAGGTTTCACAGAGCCTCTTCAGTTGAGTGCTAGGTGTGTGGACGAGCGTTGTCATGTTGCAAGATTATTGGTGCCAGGCTGCCTCTAACACAACAAATAATCACCTGGTGCCAATAATCTTGCAACATGACAATGTTCGTCCACACACCTAGCGTACAACTGAAGAGGCTCTGCAAAACCTGAAGTTTGAACTGATTCCATGCCCTCCTTATTCCTCCAATCTTGCACCTTGCAATTTTTATTTTTTTCCTCTACTCAAGAGAGACCTCAAGGGTAATCATTACACCTCGGACAATGAGGTGAAGGAGCTGTCAAGTCCTGGATTCGAGAAAAGTCGGAAGAATTTTTCAGTGATGGAATGAAAAAACTTGTTACACGTTGGAGAAATGTGTTAGCCTTATTCGTGTCTATGTTGAAAAATAAATATATGACTTTGAAGCTTAAGAATTGTACTTTAATGTACTTTTTTCCCGATCTTGTTATTTGTTTTTGTTCATGTTCTACAAGCATGTGTGCATTACTTTTCAGCCTACCCTCATATTTTGTTTTCTGTTCCTATCACTTACAACTTGCATTTTACTATGAAATTATAGATTAGTTGTGATTGTTTTCTGAGTCATAGCATTGCCAATGCATTGCTACAGCTTTGTTTTATTAAAATTTTCTTCAACTTTTATTATAGTTTGTAATAAATAAATTTTATCACTTTCTTCAAAATACTAATTATGTTGCTTTAGTTATAGATTTCAGATTAATTTTTGTTAAATAAATTTTGTTTAAATTGTGCGTTGAGGCATGTATTTATTTTCTGACATATAAACATTTATTTAGCTGTTTTTTTATAATTATTTTTTATACGTTTTTCTTCATAAATTAACATCACTTCATTAATTTGGCTCTTACATTGATAATCACATGTTAATCAATAAAATAATTTCATTTTGAATTTTAAAAATTGATTAATAAAATATCATGAAAATTACAGTAAATTATTTAATTCATATTTTTAGGATTTCTATTTTATAATATTAATTTAGATAACTTATAAAAATTATTTTATTTTGTTCTTTTGAAAATTTTTAAAATAGTTATTTAGGACTTACTATATATTTTAAATAATTGAAAAGTATTTAAAATTAAATAAATTTTTGTTGTAAAATTTTTTTATAGATAAATAACCCTTGCCTCAATATGCTAAAATTGTGTAAACAACTTCTGGTATGGGTATAACTGAAAAATTCTTCATTAGTTTATATAAAGTCCTCATAATTTGTCCATTTTTTTAATCTTATTTATGTGAATTTTAATTAAATTTGTCATCCAGGTATTTAAATTAGAATATATATGTCAGAATTCTTTGAAAAATTTTGTAGTTTACAAACTTCAGTAACAAAAAAATTTACTTATCTATTACATTTTTATTTAGAAGAAATTCTAAACCAATTATTCAAAATTCTTTAATATCTGCTCATATATCATTTTAGATAAAGTTAAATTCAGATTAAATTTCAAAGTTCTATGAGATTAAAGATGAAGAATGAATAAACAATTTATTTACATTCTATTTATTTTCGGAATTTTGATGATCTTTTTGAATAAATATTTCAATTAAAATCTTGTCAGTTGATACAGAAATTTTGTAGATGATTCAAAAATCATATTTTGAATACATTAATCATGTTATGAATATTGTATTAGATATAAAATTGTTACTTTTTTTTATTATGTTATGAATATAATTATTGTTTTACTATTATTGAGAAATTGTGAATTTTTTACATTTTTTTTTTGATTATTATAATATTACAATTAATGTAAAATAAAACTTGTCACTAATTTTTTTTCTACTTAAGAAATTAATTTAAATAAATTGAATGGATTATTTGTTTAATTTTAATATCAGTATATAAATATTTTATAACAGGGTAATGCCATGTGCTATTTTCTATCAAGATGTTGATGAAAATGAGGGAGAAAATAGTAATGAAGGAAGTGATGCTGAAAGTGATGGGTTAGAAACTTCATATTTTAATATTAATAAAATGTTTATTAATTTTAATTATTTAAATAAATTAAACAGAATATAATTCAATATTTAATTAGGGGGAGTGAAGAATCAACGAAATGGAAAACAGAAAAGAAAGGACGATCAATTTCTAAATCTGTTCAACATAAATTTTTGAAATCTGTAACTTCACGTTTAACAGTTGCTCAGGTTTGCTTTTCTATTGTTATTAATTTTATAATTTTATTTATTGTCCATAAAAGTTGTTAATAATTGTTTAAACAAAAATTTAATTATAATTATAATGTTAAAAATTGGAAAGATAGTATATACGAGGTGTGACTAGAAAATAATGAGACTGAAGCTGGAACTTTAAATCTTCAGTAGTATACTCACTTCAGTTGTGTTCCCCTTCAATGTATGATCTTTCTGCTTCCACATAGCATTGCATTCACAACTTCCACTGACCATAACAGTGCTGCAGGTTATCTGTAAGGCTATAGAGAAGCTTTATTGTTTTTTTCTTGTTCTTGAATGTTTCTTGTTCTTTTTTTTTTTTGTTATTTTCTTGAATCAAATTGGTGTTCCTTCAGAGCAGACTTGACTTCACGGAAAAGGTAAAAGTCACATAGAGCTAGGTCAGGTGAGTATGGTGGGTGTCAAGTAGTGTGACTGCTTTCTTGGCCAAAAACTGCTCCACTAACAGAGCGAAATGGGTGGTGCATTGTCCTGATGAAGGATGAAACTATTTTGCCACAAGTGTTGCTGCTTTCTTCTGACCCTTTCTTGCAAAGATTCCAGAACTTCTTTGTAGTAGTATTGGTTCACAATTTGTTCCACTTCTCTTATGTTTTCCTCAGTTTTTGATTTGTTGGCCATCCAGAACATTCTTTGTCTTTTACATTCTCTCAGCCATCAAAAAATCTGTGCCATTCAAACTCACATTCACAACAAAAACAATGCATCTCCATATGCTTCACGTAGCAAGTGCAATGGCAGTTTCAATGGCAAATTCAATGGCAGTTTTTTCAATTTTACCAAAAATTTCAGGGTTGATATGCTGCTGCTCTTTCAAGCTGGCCATTTTTCCAACATGTGCTAACAACATGACCACTTGCAGCAGGCATTCACAGCAAATCTAATAGTGATAGCAAGTCTCAACTTGCTGTGCTTGTTCTAACTTGTTCAAGATTGTTTACCCACCCACTCACTTTGGCCCATATATGATCATTGCATACAAGCAATCACAGTCTTGTTATTTTCTAGCCATACCATGTACATTGACCAATGTTAAGAAGTACAGTACAAACATAGTATGATTTTTGAAAATTGTAGTATTTTACATCAGCCAATCACCAATCATGCACCATTGCAGAAATAATTCTCTTATATAATAAAACAACAATGCTGTTAGTATGAAAGAATGCTGGACCCTGTGCAATTGCACAGGTTTCACAAATGGTAATTCTGCCACTGGTAATTCAAAATGGCAGAGAAATGCATTAGTTTTTCATACTTGAATTGGCTTGGTCACTGTTGTGTGGGCTCAAGGATCACCTCCAAGAAGTAGTCAAGGAAAAATATACTAAAACCTGTTAAACAGAAACCTGGCCAAAATGGAAAATATAATTTGATACCATATCATTTCAGTTTACAAAGATTTCAGCATATAAACAAAAACTTTGTTTCATGTAGATAAACATTCAGTATATAATGTACAAAAATGTATTTTATATAAACTTTATTTTAATTATTTAGTAAATAAAGAGAATAAAAATTAAATGGTTTAGGATTCTATTTATTATAAAAGTGTTATAGCATCTCATGTTAAATGAAAAAAAAAACTCCAATAACACATCTATCATACTGCAATATTCAAGTTTGTGAATTTTTTGATTAAAATAAGTGATTAATTTGTCTATTAGCATTATTTTATTCATATTCTTGTGAAATAGGCAATGAATCCATCATCAGGACATTGTGGAATATATCTAAATGTGTTAAAATCAGATTTGAGAGTACATTGCTGTTAAGACAAACTCTTAAACATTTAACATCAATTTCCTAAAAACATAGGTCAAAGCATGATATATTACAAATCCTAACACTACAGATATAATCATTAATTAATACTTCTACTAATAAATGCATGAGACAATTTAATTTATCTTAGATATGAGTTGATAATTTTTATATTTAGGTTAAAGTAATATAATAATTCTTTAATTTTTTTTATTATGTGGTGTTTATTAGAATTTAATTTATAGAATGTATATTCTATTTTTATTACAAATATTATTTCAAAAAAGAAATTATTTTTATTTATTTGAAAATTCTTATAAGTCATTTGAATAAAAAAAACATTTATTACATTAATTACACTTGAAACAGTGAATATTTATGATTGTACTTATTGTCAAAATCCAATATGTAATAAATTTAAATAAACAATCTAAAAATTAAAAAAAATAAAATCTAAAAGTTGTAATTATTTGAAATCATTTTTATATCACTAATTCTTAATTAAAAAATTAAGAATTAGTGATAATTATAATAAATTATAATTATTATTAATTAATAATCACAATACAAAACAAAATTATTAATTAATGTTTATATATTCAAAACAGGTTGTTGAAGGTGTAAGGGCTAATGCAAATCTGAATTTTGATTTTGTAATGTTTACTATCTTAGCAAGGTAATAAAAAACAAAAAAAGTTAAATTGAAATTTAGTGAATTACTTTTTGAAGTTCTAATTATCATTGTTTTTTTATTATAGTATAATTGCTGCAGTTGGACTTGTTGAAAGTAGTTCTGTAATATTGGTTGCCAGTATGTTAATATCACCACTTATGGTAATTTTAAATTTTATTACTACTTTAGGTTGTGAAGCAATGTAAATGTTTTTGTTTTATGGTCGATGTACGTTCAAATTATAATTTAATAAAGAAAACGTGCATAATATTTTTACTCTTACTGAATCTGATAGTATATGATTCTACATTTTTTACATAAATGCAAATAGTATTTTTAAGATATATAATAATTCATTAAAAAAAGATATATGGATTAAANTCTTTTCTATACTAGAATAAGATTATATTTTAAACAATTATTTTTATTTATTTACCTTGTTTTCTAAATTTTTTAGTATATATTTATTAACTTTTTTTCTTTCTTCTCTTGAATTTCAAGTTAAATCTATAATTAATTTATTCTTACAATATTTTTATTTTTATTAAATTCTTGTATTATTTGAAATTTTATGCCAATACTTCAAAAGGAATGTTTATTATCATTGGAATTTGATTTTTAATATAAATTTTATTATTTTCTATTTGAACACAATGCAGTTTGTTTATAAAATTAAATATTTCTTTCATAGGATTAAAAAAAAGTGAGATTGTTCTTGTCTTTAAAACTGATTTATACAAATTATTTTATTTCTTAACTTCAGTACTGTTGTCTTTTAGTTCTTTTATTTCTAAATTTATTGACTTTTCTGCTCTTAAATAGTATCATTACTTGTCTGAATTAATTGTATTACCTTATTTAATAATTGTTATGATGAAATTTTGATGTACAGTAGACCTCCCATAACATGGGTTCATATAGTTCGGATTCCTATATCACGGCAAAAAAATTGTGACAGTATTCGTACAAACACACTAAAAAAACTCTTATAATTCAGTAAAACGTCATCGCCAACTTGTGTTACGACAGGATTGGTCAAATCTAGACCAATAGCGGATATTGTATAAACCGTTGAGTTTAAACGAGCAGCACACCTACTAAAAACCATTTATTATTTAACGTCCATAGAAATTATATTTATATTAATGTCGTCTCCAAAGTCAGCAAATTTTTCGCAAAAAAAATAATTTATCAGGAAGCACACGAGTGCCATTTGATGACAAGCTCCACAACGAAAACAAGCTTAAGCAATGGCGTAGTCGAACGATGCACACTTGGTAAGTAATCCTACAATTTTTTGTTTATACCATAGTTTATATGGATTATTCCCAAAAAATTATACGTATTTTGGAAATGTTGAGTCGAATTAGTCTAGAATCTATTAATTTTATAGATGGAAAAACCTGTTTGAAAACCTTTCAAACAGCCATAGTCCATAAACTGCATACATCCTGGGCTGTGATTGGCTCATGTATTCAAGGACTCTTAGAACATCAATTTCATAAAGAACGGAACGTATTTACCGTGTTATAGGGGGGGTCGACTGTATTTTTTTATGGAGAAAAAATTCTACAGAAATTTTATTTCAAAATTATTGTGTATTATAAAATTAATGACATCTTTTAGAATTGAAGAAACATGGTACACAGTTAAACATAATATAGTAGAACCCCAATTCTTCAAGGTAATGTTGACTGATGCCACACCTCAGATAACTGAAAATTTATACAAAACATACAACTATGGCCATATTTCAGATTAAAAAAATTAATAATTTAAAAGATTTACATGGTAGCAGTTTTAAAATTCACTGAAGTATAAAAAAGGATTATCATGTATAAGAACAACATTTTTTGCATCATTTATACAGTTTATACATTATTTTATCATTTATTATACATTGAATACATAAAATAGTTTTAAGGATAAAAATGTGTAATGATGTAGTCACATTTTAATATGAAATGATTTTTCTAAAATTGTAGCTAAATGATATAAAATTATTTGTTTCTATTTTTTTCTGTTACCTGTTACCATTTTGAACTTTCTTTTATGAATTACAATATAAGATAAGTAGTGTATTCATTTGCTGGTTTGCCTTGAATAATGTGGAACCTCAGTTAATCTGGGCTTGGATAATTGAGGTTCTATTGTATATAAATTTATCCTGTATAAATACAATTTTTATATAAAATAAAGTATTTTAAAAGTTTAATTTGGCAAGTATATTAAGGATTTTTTTATCAGAATATTTAACTGATTTTTTGTATACATTTTTATGAAATACAGGTTTTCTTACGTAATTTCCTTATTCTACTATTTATGACATTAAATTATACTTAATAGAATATTTATATTATTTATGTTTTTAATAATTTGTTACATATATGTTAGGCTCAAAGATTTTTTTTGCTCATTAAGCATTTTCAAAGAAAAAACACTAGAACATTTTGTGGCATTACTGAAACAGTTACAAGAAGAAATTTCACAATCTGCTTAAAAAAAACTGCAACATGTTCTGGCATTTTAAAGAATGTCATGTGTCATGATGTGAAATCTATATATCGATGCTGGAACACAATGTGGGCATTCTTTTTATTGACATACCACAAGGCATTGTTATAGAAACAACATGAGACATTTTATCAGACACACATACAACAATTTGTCATCTTAACCTCATTGAGGAAGAAGAGTGGAGCTAACTCAGTCATTTGTCAATTTTGATCTGACATCTGGGCTTTAGCAGTTGAGCTCCAAAGAAGACCTACTTGAGTGGTTCCATGAACACAGTGAAGTTTACAACTACTGACAGCTTCATTGATGTGCATGATGTGCCCTCAAGTTCACTATCTTTTCAGTTAGTCTGAAATATAACATTTGAAATAAGCAAGGCTCTGTAAGCTACAATTGTGAAAGGTAATGAATTGATAAAAAGTTCAAATATTGTTTGAAAGATAGAACAACTAAAATTATAATTGGTAAAAGTTTCTGCAAAAATAACTGAGTTTGGTCATTGCTCTAAATTATTAAACACACTGTATTTATTCATATATCCTTAATTCTTTATTTACTACTAAAGAATAAACAATAAATGATCATGACATGTGGTATGTTGATAATGCTGGAATATGAATTGCAGTTATTTTTTTAAGTCCCAACACACATTTTACATCATGAAATTCTTTTCTATACTAGAACACATTGTATCTCTTTATAAGCAGTCAGGGTGTAAAATTTCTTGTGGTTGTTTCTTTAAAGCCACTTGTTCTGGTCTTTTTTTCCCCTCTCCCTTATTCAATCTTTTTGCCTAACATATATATAGACATTTTTAACTATGGCATAACATTAGAATATTTTACATTTAATATTAATTGAAACATGAGTAATTTTTATAATACATTTTTAATTATAATTTATTAATAACTTAATTATTCAATCTTGATAATAAAACGATTAAGTAATACATTATATTTGTCTTCATGGATCTATAATACATGAGCAATTATATATTCCCAGAAACGAAAATAGAATATTTCTTGTAAATGTCACTTAATAAAAAATGATTTGGAGTAGAAAAAGTGATACTAATATATTCTTAATATTTATTAACTTTAGGGTCCAATCTTGGCTGGTACTTTTGGAACTGTAATTCAAGATGGGCCTCTTCGTAATTTAGGAATAAAAACAGAAATTCTTGGTCTTCTTCTATGTATATTATTTGGTAAGGTTGTGAAATTTACAAAATTTAACAATGTAATATTAAACAAATTGTTTTTAAAATTATATTTTTAGTTTTAAACTTTTTAATAGTCCTATTATATAAAATGAAATGATTGACTTTAAACATTTGATTATTATTACAACAATAATTAATGTACTGAAACCTGTTTATGTAACAGGATTCCTGAAAACCAGTGGCTCAAAATAAAAATACATAAACTTGACATTTTATAATGTTAACTTTTATTTTTTTATATATTAAATATTTATCAACTCTGTTTTTTTTTGCTATGTTTTGAAGTTAAGCATGTGTTTGTTTATACTGTAAGCAAAAATATTGCATATGCATAAACATTAATATTAAATATACTTGTCAATCAAAATTATTTTAATTAAATTCTTTCCCCAAAAGAATCATTCTACAGCTGAAAATTTTATTACTTTTTACCACTTTAAATAACTACCAAATGTCATCAAATGAAGATGTTTTGAAATGGAAACAGCAACTTAAACAAAATTTATTATTACAAAATGCCAGAATTATGAAATATTAGAAGAAAGTTTCTCATTTCGCTTTATATTTTCATACAGTATGTTTTTATTTTAACAAGTATTATATAATATCAAAAATATCTGATTACTATAATAAAACTTCTATTTTCTACATAATACAATACAATAAAAATTAAATAATATAGACAGATAGCTATTATTTTATGTTAATGATTAAAATATTTATCTATTGATTCTCTGTAGCTAAATCTTTTGGGGCTACATAAAACAAATATAAATTAGAATTGTTCACAGAATTTTAAACAATTGTACTTTTTATTTAATGAAGGAAGACAAATAAGTCAGATAAAATTAAGATCAGTTACAATTGACATTATAATGTTTAAATTTAAAATTTGCTTTATTATTTCAGTTAGAATGAAGTTAACTTTTTTAGTATTCTCATTTTGCTGTATCTTTATATACTATAACATATAAAATTTAAATTAACCTTTAGTTTGTCAATAGGCTGATATTTCAATGTTTATGCTATTTATATTAAGTTACAAAACAATACCATTTACTATGCAGTAAATATTTATTATTCTAATGTTTTTGGTCTTAATCTTCTTCAGGAGATTGTTCTTTTTAAATTATAAAATTCAAATAAGCTGTCACTTATTCTATAACAGTTTACAATATGCCATTTTTGGAATAAAATAAATTTTAAAAATGCATGTGTTGGACATTTACATGTTGAATGGAGCATTGCAATAAGTGACAAAAAGAAAAAAAATCCCAAACTACAAATACATAAAAATAATTAAGATATAAACCATTAGAAAAAAACTCTAAATTAGGCTTTACAAACTTTACTCTGGTATCTACAATCTCTGTATTGGTTTGGGGTCATTAAAAATCGAGACCTGATGATTTTGGATAGGAATCCTGCCACCAAGTGTGTATTATTGGACTTACTCCAATCTTATCTAGAATCCAAATCAGAGTGACTCTCACCTTCATATCTTACATATTTCAAAATCCAAGAATGAACCTCTCAGGAGAGAAAATGTAAAATCAACTACCTAGCATAGAAATAAAAGAAAATTTATCGGAAAAACAAAATGTGACATTATATATGGATAAATAAAGCCTATCCTTGAAACTTAACCAATTTAATTACTGTTAAACCTATGGGGTGCAAAACTTGATGAGATAATTTGAAATTCATGTCTCACAATGTACTAGGAAAAGAGTTGTCATCTTCTCTTTAGTTCCTTTTTTCTCTTACAACCTTTTCTTTTCTTTTCTCTCTCTTTGTGCTGATTGTCTTCTTCAGAATTGACTTTTTTTTTATGTTGATTCTCTCTTTTCTGCTGTTTTTTTTGTCATCTCCTTTTATTTTATTATTATACTTTCTCGTGACCAATCATGATTTTATTCTGGAGGAAGTTGATGTAATGAGAGATAAGCTTGATTAGTTATTATTCATCCTAGAAGAGGGGGAATAAAATGTGTATTCCTGTGATCAGGGGTACCCATACATTAGGGCATGTGCTCCCCTTTGTCATTGGGTTTCCCTTTTCTTAATCCCAAGGGAGCTCTAAGGGTTTCATTTTATTTTAAAATAAGTAATGCATTTTTATCACAGAAAACTTTTAACTAATGACAAAATAAAAATATTTTTTATTAACTGAAAATTTTTTCTAGTGGGTTGTGATTACTGAATACGAGTGGGTAGCTGAATACTGAGCTATCACTGGATTTGATTAACTCAATTTCGATATATGTGGTAGCATCGAGAGATCAATTAACTGCGTTAACCAAGGGATACCTGTTTATATACATACATACATAGGCTACTTGATTACTGTATATTTTTTATATAATGTATTGGCCTGAATATTACTCATTATTTTTATGATATTTTTTTTTATAGTCTGTGGGTGCTGCTGTCTGTGATGTGAACTAGGTAACAACTGTCACTTAATACTAGTTGAAAAGAGGGAAATGACAGTCATTCCCTTCAACTTTTCCTCTGAATGTTATGAGGTTAATGACAATTAACTAGTAATTTTTTTATTCTAATTTGTTCCTCTTGATTATTTTTAATCTAATTTCTAAAAATTTAAAAAGGGAGTGTTTTTGAAATCAGGGAAATATGCAAAATTCTGTTACAATGCTAGTTGCTGAAGTAAACAACCATAATGTCACATTCACACATCTAAGATGCAACTACTAGACAAGATGCATGCAAAAAGCATCTTGTCCAGTAGCTAACGATTGTTTAATAATCAAACAGACAACAAAGAAATATATCAAATACATATATAATTTAAAATAAAATAAAATTTCCAACTTATCATTTAAAGAGATTATGCTATTAGTTTAAAATAAGTTGGCTAAGAATTAAAGTTAACAAAAAAGTACTAATAATAACTCAACAACATACATATATACATACATATATATATATATATATAAGGACCTTGAATAAGTTCTTGCTGTTTTTTTGTGAAAATTAACACTTTATTTAAAAAAAGTCGTAATAAACACGTCACTGAAAGTATTGTCCATCACTAGCCACTACTTTCTCCCATCGTTCTGGCAGCATTTGAATTCCATGTCGGAAAAACGACACGTTTTTTGAGGCTATCCAAGAATCAACCCATTTTTTGGCATCTTCATAAGAACGAAAGTGCTGCTCAGCCAGGCCATGTGACATCGATCGGAACAAGTGATAATCGGAAGGAGCGATGTCTGGTGAATATGGCGGGTGGGGTAGGATTTCCCATTTAAACGTTTTCAAGTACGTTTTCACCGGTTGTGCAACATGTGGCCGAGCATTGTCATGTTGCAAAATCACTTTGTCGTGTCTCTGCTCATATAGCGGCCGTTTTTCCTTCAATGCTTGGCTCAAAAGCATCAAATGTAGTCGATAGCGATCTCCCGTGATAGTTTCGTTTGGTTTGAGCAGCTCGTAAAACTACACCTAGCTGATCCCACCAAATGCAGAGCAGAAGCTTCGAACCATGGATATTCGGCCTTGCTGACGATGTTGATGCATGACCGGGCTTACCCCACGATTTTCTACACTTAGGGTTATCATAGTGTATCCATTTTTCGTCACCCGTCACGATACGATGCAGAAAACCTTTCCTTTTCTGCCGTTGAAGCAGCTGTTCACATGTGAAAAGACGGCGTTCGACATCTCTCGGCTTCAACTCGTACGGCACCCAATGTCCTTGCTTTTGAATCATTCCTAATCCTTTTAAACATTTCGAAACTGTTGTGTGATCAACTCCTAATGATTCTGCAAGTTCAGCTAGCGTCTGACATGAGTCTTCATGGAGTAATGCCTCTAATTCCTTGTCTTCAAACTTTTTTGGTACACCAGATCATTCTTTATCTTCAACATCAAAATCATTATTTTTTAAGCGTCTAAACCAATCTCTGCATGTTGTTTCCGACAGAGCATGGTCGCCGTAAGTCTCAACAAGAATTCTGTGTGCTTCTGCTGCAGATTTTTTTTGAATAAAATAGTGCAATAAAATTCCCCGCAAATACTCTTTTTTTGGCACGAAACTAGACATGTTTAACACAATGAAAAAATAAGTTGTTTAACACTTCGGTGAAATGACGTATACTGAATTTCAAGGTCACTTATTGTACTTCCTTACAGATGCCTCACCATCTAAAAATAGACACATGTGGTTCTGGTAACGCCATCTGTTGGAAAACAGCGAGAACTTATTCAAGGTCCTTACATACATATATATATGTATGTATAATGGCAGACAAAATTTAAGGAAAATGATGGCTCTCATACTGTCAAATTAATCATCACCGTGCAATGTAAATACTATCCATCTTGCAATATCCTCTTAATTTAGCTGCCTTTATGATTTTATCAAGAAATACTTCTATTTTGGTGAAATTGTAGTGTTTTCTCTATAATTTACTGCCTGCCTCTTCTGTAGCATTATGAATGTACCTTGTAGAAGCATGGCACATTCATAAGATATTCATAAGACCAAAAATGTTAGAATAATTAACCATTTACTATGTAGTAAATATTTGTTTTGTGATTAATGCAGTTAAGGAAAGAATTGTATTAAGCTATTATATAAAATATATAATAGCTTATGCTACAAGCTATTTTTGAATGAAATTAAAAATACATTAGAAAAAACTTGTTTTTAATAGTAGCTTTCATTTTTTAAATATTTTAATTATACAACTTTTTAAACTAGGATTCCTATTTGGATTAATTAGTGGTCCATTCAGTAATCAGTGGGTTCAAGGTGATTGGCCAACCAAAGAAATGACTTCAAGGTAACAAATTAATGTAATATTTTATTTAAAATATTCATGAAGAGAAAATAATACTGAAATATATCATTAGTATCTTTATTTTAATGTCTTGCACATTGGGCTAATGAAGTCACATGGAAAAGCTGACTTTTTTTGATGCTCTTCCCTGCCATAATATGCAAAGTTCTTTAGAAATGTTCCACTGGTTGCAATATATTTTAAAATTGCAAATGATTTAAGTTAATTTTTCACCCTGTTTTTTAAATATTTGAGCAGAAGACAAGACTAAAATAAAGAATATATTTCTGTGTAAACTCTGCTATTTGACATTATTATTTCTGTGGTGAGAAAAGGATGAAGGCATCAATACTAAGGATATATTTTATTTTGTTTTCTGTTTGCAAATATTTTATAAAATAAAATTTTATTTTGGAATTAAATTTTTTGATTCTGGTTTTTACTTTCCTGGCTGTTATGTATTAACACAGAGTCAAATTTTAACACTAAGTTTTTGCAAATCTTTATGTTTTGAGACCACCTGAACCCGTAACAAGGAAAAACATTGTGTTTGTGTGTTTTGGAGTCTATTTCATTTAGTACCTCAGAATAGGATAAAGATTAAGAAACAAAATTTGGCATGATAACTTGTATATAAGCATTGATGCTTTTAAATTTTGGTAATTAAAGGTCACACCTTAATTCATTTCAGTTTGTGTAAAAGTTGATTCCTCTTATTTCCAGATGAGTATTCTCATCATGAGTATTGTTTGTCTAGTATGCTGTACATTGAGATATTTCCTTCCAAAATTAATCAAATTGAAAATGAATTAAGGTGCAAAACTTTTAAAGTTTATCTTATGATTTAAAACTGTTTAAAATTTAATTCTGTTATTAATTATTTTTATATCAGAATGTATGTATGTACATAATGCATAATAATTATATATATATTAATGTCAAATTTTAAAAAACTATTTATTGCAGATGAAACAAAATATTTAACTTCCAAAGTTTAATTTCTTTATGCTTATTTAGATTATTTTGCTATGTATATTATTTTAAAATTTTTGAAAATTTGTCACACAGTTATTTTAATATTAATTTTATTATTTTAGAGGTGAACTTCGAAGTTTATGGCTTGGTGTATTAGTTGCTTTACCATCTGGTGCTGGAGTAGCTCTCTCTGTGTTAGGTGGAAATGCAGGATCACTTGTCGGTGTTGCAATATCTGCTTCTCTTCTTCCACCAGCAGTCAATGCTGTAAAGTATTTTAAAAGCATTATTTAATAATGATAAATATATATTTTTTAATTATTTAGAAATATCTATTTCTATAAAGCTGATTGAATAAGATTATTATATTTCAACAATTAAAAACAAAAATTTAATAGAAAGTATTTTGAAAATATCAATAACAACTCTGAAGAAGAAATACAGGATGATTCTAAATAATAATTGATCTGTATTATTGATTCTATAACTGCAAGATGGATGCATGCATTTTGTGGTTTCTACAATTTCCCAGCAATAATCAATTTTGCTTCAAGTGTTCTCCAGCATTTGTGGTTTAGCTGTGCCTATTGCAGCAACAATTCTAAGCTCCAATTTATTAAGGAATGTTATGTGCACATCTAGTTGATTTTTGTGGGTGTTGAGAAAAGGCTTCTGAATTCTATCAACATCTTCCTGCAAAGTGTTTGATCCTCCTACTTTTTTTGGTGTTGATCATCATCAGTATCTAGATAATGTCATACAACATTGGTTACAGCAATTTCAAAAGATGGATCTTTTTTTGTATTGAGTTCTGTAACAACATTGCATTGTAATATTTTTTTATTATATTGATTTTATACTGATAAATCAAAGTCTGCAATTTGCTTTCTCTTAAACAGTTACCATTTTTAAATATGATATATTATCTCCCAGTCATCAATATTGCAATTACAGCATTGACAAATAAAACTTTTTGAATTGCATTTTCATATTCTGTAAGCATATTTTGTTTCTGGTTAAAAAATTATAGGCCATGGAGACATGAGCAATAGTTTTGTAAATTTCATTTTCTTAAAATATAGAATAATTCTGGAGTTCTAAAAGATTTTTTAAATTTCTGTATTTTGCTAAATGAAATAAGATACAGTTGAACTCTGTTCATGTTTCTCAGGTGTGTTTTTTTTTAAATTAAGTTGCCATTAATTTATATTGGAAAAATTTTTGAGCACTTTCAGACTCAAAATTAACTTACTAAATTATGAAAAATAATACTAACATATACTAAAAGCAGGAATGATAAGTACACATACTATATAAAGTAGAAATGTAAATAAAGTTAGTTTCTTTAACCATACTATATTTGAAAGAAGTACTGTACTCTCTCCAATAAGTAACATCTAATGTATGAAATTCCCCTTTCTCAAAAACTGATCAAATCATCCATGGCAACTTTTAAATTCCACTTTTACATTACTTTAATCACTATTATCCATTATTTCTTTTTCAGCTTATTGAAGAGACACCATCTTTATATATTTATCAATTTACCCAAGCAATAGACATTTCATTTTCTCATTTTATGTTTGCTTATTGAATCCTTAAGCTGTAATTATCATATAATAAAGAAAATTCACAACTTTCTCACACTTTCCATCAGTAACTGTTTAATAAACAAATGTTTTTGGCCACATTTAGGGGCCTGTGTCAGATTATGCTGATATGAAATTGAACCTCTATGGCAGGTTCAAAGTTTGGAACACTGATTTTCTTTGATATCAGATTGTTCTTTGATTTTTATATTTGCTAACAGATGCATAGAATAAATTGATATGAAGCACAAATGCTTCATATCACTAAACACAGTTCAAAGCTATGGCAGCTTGTTGCTGATCATAGTTTCCAGCAAAGGAGCTTGGAGACTCCTCTCTGCTAATCAGAGTGCACAATGTCTCTAAAGCAGCTTCTGTAAAGCTAATATGAAATGCTAATTTTGATTTTTGTTTTTATGAACAGATCCTAATATAAATCTTTTATAAATGTGAAGTGTCATAAAATAAACTTTTGTAAAGCAGGGGATATCTGTACCAGAAATGAGAATATTTGTGATAAATATTAATTAGTTAGTGTCTGAAATAAGTTTAAAATAATGTGCTATGATTTCAAGGGACAGAATAGTTATTCACAGAAAAATAAGTTGAACAGTGTCGTTAAAACTTTTGAAACTAATGTGTTTATTATTATTACACTGCACTAAGTTTTATTTAGATTAATTTTAAATATATTAATTTTAAATATGTTCAAGGTGATTGGCC